ACCTCACCTCACCTCACCTCACCACCATCACCACGATCTCCACCTTCATCACCACCATCACCTCTCTGGACCTCAATGCGTCTAGATCTCTAGATTTTCTGCTGCTACACCTCTAGACCTCACACACACACTGTTTGGGGTCTCTTGCCGGGATAATTTTTACTTTTAGAAGGCTGCAGAAATATGCAGAAATGACCGCTATCAGTCTTCGGTAGGCCGGTAGGCCCTTCCCCTCAGCACGGAGACACTCCTGTTGTACTTCATCCTCCGACACATCCGTCTCCGAATAAACAGGAGACGATTGCATCTGCTGAATCTCCTGCAAAGCTTGGCAGAAGCTGTTTCTCGTCCAGGAGAGTCTTTGGAACTTTTAGAAGGCTGCAGAAGACCACTATCAGACCCTTTCCCCCGGCACGGAGACCTGTTCAACCCCATCCTCCGACACATCTATCTCCGAAGAAAATGGAGATGATTGCATCAATGGAACGAGTGGACTCTCCTGCAAAACGGGGCAAGAGCTGTTTCTCTTGTGCAGAAGTGGTGTCTTTTGGACTTTTGGCAGGCTGCAGAAATGACCACTGCCAGACTACGGTATGCTGGTAGGCCAGGACAGTCCTGCTCTGCTTCATCGTCGTCCGACCCATCTGTCTGTGAAGTGCCTGGGAATCAGCCCGAGAGTGAGAAAACTTGGAACGAGCAAGGCGGCAAGGCGCTGCCTGAAGTTTAGCGTAACTTACGTAACATTGATCAGTCTGCATGGAACTCAGCAAATGGTCGTACCAGCTCGTCTTTACATCCATTTAGATCACCAGGCAATGGCTCCTCATGTTTCCTCTGCAAAAACCAACACGAACTTGTAACATAACAGGTTGGACTCCTGAAGTATTCAATCCTTACATGTTGTAACAGGCCGCAAGGCAAGGCCCGCAAGGACGTGCAAAAGCTTCAAAACATCTGTGTCAAGAACTGATATACCTAAATGATATACCCATATCATTGGCAACACACATAATAGGAAAGCCATGTTTGCAATCGCCCATGTGCTTGTGTATTGTACATGCGCACGGCACATTCCCATGTCATGCGCTTATCAGGTGACATGCTACAAACGGACAAAATCATGGAACTGCTCACGCAGGAACGCCAGTTGTGCGACGTCCAATCGCCCACAGATCCATGGACAGCTCTGTGAGATCAACTCTGAGTAAGTGTCGAGCCCTCGCCTCTACTGTCGACCTGTTGCCACAAGCTCGCTCCTATTTGCTGCCCACACTCAAGTTATCAAAGCATGAGAAACGTCCCTCGAGCTCTGTCCCCTACCACCTCCCACCCTCACAGATTCACCGAGGTGCTCTGCAGCAAGCTCCCGGTTCGCCTTCCGAGTGCGAATCGGCAAGTATCCATGCACGCCCTTTACTAAGGGGCCCTTTACTCTGCACGTCTTTGTTGGTTGAGAATATGGGCGCTTCCAAATGTTGACCAATGGATGGGAAATCCTGCTGCAATCGAGGGCATAGGGTCTCACGAGGCCGCAACTGTAGCCGCCAAACATGCAGCGTGGAATGAGTGATTGATTACCCGACAGATTCTTTCAAAGGAAGGCATGCAGTGGCTCTGGTTTGTGCTTCTTGGGGTGAACATCCAGGATTAATGTATTCAATGGAGCCTCACTTCATCTCCCGGAGAAGCTTGTCCCGGATGAGAAACCAGGTGGGTCCAGCTTCCCGTGAAGCGAATGGTGCGAGCTGATGGACCAAATACCAGTACGAACTCGTAGCATCATGGGGGGGCAAACGTCGGAATCGGGGCATTACGTTGGAACCAAACGGAATAGGACCTTGAATAGGACATCATGGCCAGATTCTCATCCTCCCAAAAGGCCTCCAACAATATCGTGGCGCACTGTTGACATGCTCGCCCCGCGCCATGGGCAAGCACCACATGCGTTTGGTTACACGATCATCATAGCTGGTCGTCTATGGTTGTCAAGAAATGTCAAGAGCACAACAATTTATGCTGTTTTGCGTCAGCTCGTTTGATTAAGCAAAGGAAACCATTGCCTGGAAGAACTGCACGTTCGCTTGCAACTTGTAATCGTTTGAAGCAGGTATCTGCTGATTGTATCTATAGTGTCTACAGACTGAGCCAAATTAGGCGGTCGGAAATGAAGCATCGTCTCCGAAGGTGAATTAGCAGCCACTCACTGTTGCTACTAGGGGCTCCTGGCCTTACTACTAGGAGCAAGGACGCTACTAGGGGCTCCTGGCATCGCTACTAGGAGCATACTTACTAGTAACAAGAAGCTACAGTACGAAGGGCTCCTTGGCAAATGCGACAGCATGCGACAGCTAAACACCATCAACACATTTGCACCTACGTAGGTCAATGTGACATATGTGGCAGGCTGTCCGCACCTTCTTGCGCACACCGGAGCCAACATTGAAGCCCAGCTCCTGAAATGTTCATTGGTCGGCGGGGCAGAACTTTGGCTAAATACATTCAATATACCCCTTGCTACAACGCGTGGGGGTTGAGAACGCCATTCTATAGTGATAAATCGGTCTACCAACCTCTGGTAGCAAAGTGCCCCACTATAGAATCTAGCTGTCAACCCTTGTAGTGTACGGCATAGTTTCTCTATAGAATAAAGGGGGTCAACCATGAAGGCACTAATGTAACAGAATTGTAGGCTCAAAATCTGAATTATCTAATTGAAACAGCCAGGGTTGGTTTTCATTCTATAGAGAAGTGGGGGAAACAGCCAGGGTCGGTCTTCATTCTATAGACAAGTCGGTGGACACTGCAAGGCTGAGTACACCATTTTCGAGGAAAATTAGGCAGCAATGGCAAGAGAGGTTGGTATTCAATTTTATAGAAACATGATTGAACATTGCAAGGTTAGGATTTCATTTTATAGTGGTCCTGGGTGCTGTGGACCACCACAAGAAGCCACATTGAACAGTTTCTGTCAATTCCAAGGAAGAAGTTCTCCAAGTAGCAGTGGATTCTAGAATGCTCCCCAGGGGCTTTCCCCACCAGAAAGGTGCTTGACCAGCTCTGGCTCCAAAAAAGATTTTTTTCATTTTATAGTGGCCTGGGTGCTGTGGGCCTGGCACAGGTGGCCACTACCAGAAGCCACATTGAACAGTCTCTGTCAATTCCAAGGAAGAAGCTCTCCAAGTGGCATTGGTTTCTAGAACGTTCCTCAGGGTCTTTCCCCACCTGAAAGGTAATTTACCACGTCTGGCTTGAAAAGAGCTTGGTTGAGACTATAAACTCAAAACTCAAAAATCAAAACTCCACAAATTCAAGTGCTTTCTATAGAATCAGAATCCAACCTACCTCACTGTAAAACATCCATCCACTCTAAAATAAACTCTCAACCTTCTACTTTTCGAAGGTTCTGAGACTATAAACTCAAAACTCAAGACTCCACAAATTCAAGTGCTTTCTATAGAATGAGAATCCAACCTACCTCACTGTAAAACATCCATCCACGCTAAAATAAACTCTCAACCTTCTACTGCTCCAGGTTCCCTCTATAGAATCAAAACCTCTGTCCTCTATAAAATGCCCTCTATTTTCATATATTCTCTATAGAATGAAGGTGCTCAACCTAGTGATCCATCAACATATGATTCTCTCACCTCAGATATCCTCAGAATGGATCTTTTCCAGGTAGGTTGACTTTTGATTCTATAGAAAATCTCTATAAAATGCTAGGTCATTTTGGAGCTCGACCTCCCCCATTCTATAGGGTTTATTCCCAGGGGTATCATTCAATCCTAACCCACCCAAGCTGCCTGCAACGCCTGACATAGGTGGGGGGCCTTTGTGATAAGGATTCATGCGAACGCCATTGACAACTCAAAAGCATTTTTGCTTTCAATCTCATGGACGCAAAATTATCCACAAACATCAGTTGAACACTCCGATTTTCACTCTAGATCCCACAGGGTTTCTACGGTTGCTGAATCGTGGACTGCTGTGGACGTCCACGACTCCTCTGGCAGTCGTGCTTTGACAGCTGCCTTGGGTGCTGCTTTAGCCGGAGCCAAAGGAGCAACCTGCAAGAATCTGGCAGCCCATCTTGCCATGACCAAAAAGTCTCTTGGTTGCAATAAAAAGCACATATTAATATAATACAAAGATCGATATATAAAGGAAAAACAAGGAAGGAAACACAATGCAAAATCATAAAAAGGTTAAAGGGTCTGAAGTTCCAAAGAAAAACTTGGTGAACTGCGCTCCCTGGAAGCTGCCCAACCAGTTTTCCATCATGGTTGGATGGCACATCAAAGGGCACCGCTTCTGGTGCGAGTGTCGTTTCTGCTGGTGCAGGATCAATCTTTCCTGGGTTGCAAACTTGGAAAGGATGAAACACAAAAGCGTATGCCTGTTCCCTCTTTGCAACAAATTAAAGATTACATCAAACAAGGCCTGGAAGCAAAAGTGCTTCTTTCGACTGGCTTTGCTTGTCCCAGCTCGTTACACAAACCAAAGCCAGGCCGCTACGCTTCCTGCCCAGCTCATCCAAACGCTGCCTGCGCTCATTCGTATCCTCGATCACCTTGGTCGGAGTGGAGGGTTGGCAAATAGTCGAGCCAACACCTCTTGATGGATCAATGGATAACAACATATAGACTCATAACATGTTTGTCTTTGACGTAGAATTTGCTTTGGACTGCACCGGAATAGTGAGCAACAGCGCTACGTACTGCTTCAAGAAAATACATCCGGTTTGAAGGAGACAACTGGGCGACGTTCATCATAGCGCAACAACATTTGCGCTTAGCTGTATGGCTAGTACATTCAAAGGCCCTTTATTGCCAAGTTTCTTCAAAAGCGATCTCCAAACGTCTTGCTGCGGGCTCAATGTCCTCAATTTCGCTCCCGTGATACTTGGCAAGGCATGGCATGTCCGGATAGAAAAAATGCGGAAGGAACTCTTGCAAATCTCTCCATTGAAACTTTCAGACATTTATTTATAAGCAAACCGCTTGAACTGTGTTCGTGCCTGTCATGACTTCTCTCTGTCCTTGGCATCTTGTCCGAGCATGGCCTTCCGTGTGACGATGCGCTTCACCCCTGAGGCTGCAAGGAGCATGAAGCAGCGCCGGCAGGGCGGCATGGTCACCTGACAAGAACGGAGGCATCGAGAAAATGGATGCCACGACAAAACAACCATCTTCCTTCCTTCCTTCCTGGCGTGGACCACTCCAGTCAAGCCAAGCCCGGGCATAAAGACATCCGCCTTTTCTTGCGCGCGGCTGTCAGCCGAAACTCCTTGCAGACTACGTACCAAAATATGCCCTTCCTTCCTTCCTTCCTTCCCTTCCCACCAAGAACAAAAACAAAAGCCCAAGAAGGAAGCGCCGCCCCCATCCTCCAAATACGATGTCTACTTATGCCGAGCAACGTAGACTGTGGCGCCTGCTGTAGAGCGCCTTGGAGAGGACCAAGACCCCATTTTCAACAATTTGACTTCATGTCGCTTGAAGCTTAGGTCTCTTTTCTACTAGCTTCTAGCTACTAGTAGCTTCTTGTTACTAGTAATGGCCTCCAACCTATTAGCGATGGCCTCCACCTAATTATTAGGTCAATATACAAGCGAACATAAGCCCAACAGGGGATACTAAGCCACCAAGCTTGTCCTTTGAATTCCCTGGGCTCCGTGCCCCAGCTGGGCACAGCGGCCGATGGCCTGCACCTCCGCATGCAAATCTGAGGCTGGACGCCTGGCAACGGTTTCCCCACTCTGAATCAAGCCATTGAGGAAAGAAGAAGACGCTCGGAACATCTAGGAGGCTAGGGACAGCGGAAATTCAGGTGTCTCACTTAGTTGCCAATTCTGTGCAAGTATTGATATGGTCTGAGAGTCAAACACCCTGCGTATTTCGGCCAGGCTTATAGCCTATATAACGTTTATCGGAGTCAAGCAAAACACAAAAACGCTGGCCATCCAATCTACACCTAGAGACGATTCATTGAACTCTCTTCATTCATGCTCTGAGTCTTGATGTTTGAAATCTCCTGGTAGCCGCCTTGAATTCATCTCCCACATGGGGCCGTTTACATGACCTCGAGTGACAGGAGGTTGAGACCGCTGCGACTGTGTTTGCAACGGGCAACTCTTTCTTGCATGCAGCTCACATTTACAAGTCAGCCAGCAGAACTCCGATGGCATTTCGGCAAATTGATGCAACTTGGATAACCTCCGCAATTCTTCAAGCTCCTCTTAGCACCTCTTAGCAGGGTTCAAGTTTTGGCAGGCATGTTCGTGAAATGATAGCAGCCACAGCAGCTACAGGAATCATTATGAATGAATGAATCTTCACATGGCGTACTTCTGAATCTCTCACAATCCATGAACTCAGCTGTTGGCATGCGATGACTTGGCCTTTCTGCACCACCAAACAACCCATGCTGCCAGCCTTGCACTGCGAGTTGCCTCAGGAAAGTGACAAGCTAGAAAGCACATGTTTGGCAGTGGTGACAGGGTTCACTCTTGTGCAAATCACACACTTCTGGACAAAGCCCAAGGAGTGTGCAAGGAAACGACTGGCACCCATGCATTGAACCAAAACCGCACCAGCTGGGCCATCGAGCGTGCTAACAGCAAGGCAAGGTCCAGGCCTCAGCTGAACAAATGCTCAACATATGTTTGGAACACTTCACCCAATCGCCATCAATCGCTCTTCTCCCGATTTGGTTGGACTTGTGCTGCCTAGCCGATAGTGGGAAGCAATGCTTCGGTGTGGCTTGGATTCCTTGGTCATGCCATAATGTCCTTTCTAGGACATATGGCTCTGGTATGTCCTTTACAAATCAATACAAACATGAATATGAACATGTCAGCTCCCTTACCAGCACTTTGTCAGGTTGCCCAGTGCAAGGGCCCATCACATTGACCCACAAACATCTGAGTGGAGCCACGGCAGCAAGTCCCGGCAGGA